ATTATGTAAACGATCGCCTAAACACGCCGAGCACATCAACCTTTCCCTGTACTGTGCGTCAAAACTGACGTACTATCGTTCACCGTGACACGCTTCGTGTATCGTTTTTTGACGCATGCCGCTGTTTTTGGAACAATTGACAAAACCGGAAATGTTGAAATATTTATTTTCTTTTTAGAGGAGGGGGAATATAATAAATTAATACCTCGACGGGGTACGCTTTGCAACGAACGAGAAAATGAATGGAAAAATGGGAACAACGTTCGATTTGTCTAGGGATATTTGCAACATTTTATCAAACTATAACGACTAAAAAAATTCCGACGAATAATCCCGATCAAACTCGATAGTAGCGAGCAATTGCAGAGCCAACAAAATTTTGCGTAACAAGAACCCGATCGGTGAGCGAGCGCGCGCGCGCGCGCGTTCGTGCATCGACAAATAAAAAAAAAGTGGCACGCACAGTCCGCTTTCAAGGCTCGAAGAGGGCCCGGAGAAGAAGAGGCCACAACGTGGGTGGACGCGTCCAGTTGATACGCGCGTCTCGATTCGTTCGCGCGTCGTGATTTTAATTACATATGAACGATGGAGAGCTCTGGCGCGGCCCGATCGACGAGTTTCGCTTTCTTCGTCGCGTGAACGTCTCATTATTTCGCCAGTCGGAAACCTACAGACAGAACGAGCAACGTTTTCGGCGACCTTGCATTGTTGTCATCCTCAAAACACCAGTAAAAAATTATCAATGAAACATAAGGACGTACACGCGAACAGCTTCACGCAATTACGTGGATTTTCAGTGTTTCGTATATTTAGAATCGAACCCCTTTAGTATTCAAAAGAATCCAGAGAATCTCAATATTTTTGCCCCTAGAATTAACCTCTAAAGTGCATACCGTCGGTAGGTAAACATCCTGTGGGCAGACGTAACAGTTGTTTATACCTAGCCTAACCTCGTTTCACACGATCACTTATAATAGATTTCGTTCCAGCGTTTGCGTATTCGTAGCGACCTTCGTATCGATATCGTGTTTACTAATGTCGTATTCAAATGGGCATTATTGAAATAAAGCACATGAAAAATGATCTTTGTAATCATATCGTGGCAGGAAATATGCAATAAATTGAGTAGATAGAGATTACCTTGAGAAAAATTTGAAAATCGTCTGTAATCGATGTTCCTAAAAATAGGAATACATAACCCTTTGAAGAAATGACCACTGTTCACTTGGCGAGGTGACCTTACGTTCGGGAGAATTTCTATCGCGTTACAAAGGTCCACGAACTCCGGTACACAATTCGACCGCGATATATCGCGAGTGGAAGACGACAATGCATAATCGAAGCGTGAAAGTCGCCCGATGTATTTCGAGAATTTCCATCGACGCCAGAAAGTGGGACGCCGTCGGGTCACCTGTTTGCCTGTGTTTCGCGGTCTTACGAGCGTGAAGTTGCGTGTTTTTGATAATGCCACGGAAGTCATGCCCAGGGGAACTCGGTAACGTTCGACTCGGAGAGAACACGCTCGATCTACGCGTCTCGCGTGAACCGAATCGATTGAAAATAAAACGTGTTCGACGATACGCGACAAATTGAGTGACGCCTGAAAGTGTGTACACTATGTGCAAGGTGCAACGGGATCGTGATAAACAACGGTTGCAGTGTTGCTAATAACTGGAAATAGACAAATTTTAATCCGAACATCCTAATCAATGTAAATCAATTTATGCATCTTATACAGGGTGTTCGGTCAACCTAGGGAAAAATTTTAATGGGAGATTCTGGAGGTCAAAATAAGACGAAAATCAAGAATACCAATTTGTTGATGGAGGCTTAGTTAAAAAGTTATTAACAATTAAATTCAAAAATTTCCAATCGATCTGGAAAAATTATTTTCGGTTGAGGGGGTCAATTACAATCATTTTTGGTGAGTAGACATACCCCCGAAATCTTACGCAGTTTCTAGACAAAAATTCGAGAAGATGTGAAATTTTTCGACGGGAAAAAAATAATTTCAAATCGTTTTGGAAAAATTATTTTCAGTTGTGGGGGTCGGTTACAATCATTTTTGGTCATTAAATGTACCCCGGAAATCCTACGCAGTTTCGAGAAAAAAATTCCTTACCGAAAATCTATTTAGAAATTTTTGGACGAAAAGAAACCATTTCAAATCGATCTGGAAAAATTATTTTCGGTTGCGGGGGTCAATTATAATCATTTTTTATGAATAGACATACCCTCGAAATCTTACGCAGTTTCTAGAAAAAAATTCGAGAAGATGTGAAATTTTTCGACGGAAAAAAAATAATTTCAAATCGTTCTGGAAAAATTATTTTCAGTTGTGGGGGTCGGTTACAATCATTTTTGGTCATTAAATGTACCCCGGAAATCCTACGCAGTTTCGAGAAAAAAATTCGTTACCGAAAATCTATTTAGAAATTTTTGGACGAAAAGAAACCATTTCAAATCGATCTGGAAAAATTATTTTCGGTTGCGGGGGTCAATTATAATCATTTTTTATGAATAGACATACCCTCGAAATCTTACGCAGTTTCTAGAAAAAAATTCGAGAAGATGTGAAATTTTTCGACGGAAAAAAAATAATTTCAAATCGTTCTGGAAAAATTATTTTCAGTTGTGGGGGTCGGTTACAATCATTTTTGGTCATTAAATGTACCCCGGAAATCCTACGCAGTTTCGAGAAAAAAATTCCTTACCGAAAATCTATTTAGAAATTTTTGGACGAAAAGAAACCATTTCAAATCGATCTGGAAAAATTATTTTCGGTTGCGGGGGTCAATTATAATCATTTTTTATGAATAGATATACCCTCGAAATCTTACGCAGTTTCGAGAAAAAAATTCGAGAAAATGTGGAATTTTTCGGCGAAAGAATAAAATTTCAAATCGTCCTAAAAAAATTATTTTCAATTACGGGGGTCAATTACAATTATTTTTGGTGAATAGACATATCTCCGAAATTCTGCGCACTTTCGAGAAAAAAATTTAGAAAGAGCGGAACTTTAAACGTTAATAACTTTTTAACGAAGCCTCGATCAACAAATTGGTATTCTTGATTTTCATCTTATTTTAGCCTCTAGAATCCTCTATTAAAATTTTTCCCAAGGTTGCCCGAACACGTTGTATAATTTGGATAATCAGAATCGTTGAATTTTACGATTACAATGAGTTATTGAAACTAATCATTTTTTTTATAAAATTTCTGAAGGAAGTACTGCTTTTCATACAATAGTAAAGTAGAAATACTCTGTTCAGATAATAGAACGTTTAAACGTGTTACTAATTTGGATGCCTAAACATTTGAATATCGAATATTGGTATAACGGAGGTTCTACTGTATCATTTAATGCAATTTGATTCGAATCACCTGGAATACATTCAGATTCCGATTAACGAAACTAATTCTATCTTATAATTTTTTAATAAAAAAAAAAAATATTTTTAGGGATTCACAGCACCTTTCTTTGTTGTTACGCCGTATTTCATACAAGTGTACGTAGACGTAAAAGTAGCTCGTCACTGTTGGGTTTGTGATTCGGCTGATCGCCGTTGCATTTTCGAACTCACGCAGCCGTGAGACCGGACGGTAACCAAAGTGATCTTCGAACTCGTGCGAACCTGTTAACAGACGGACAAGTGTTAAAAAAAAAAAAATCATCGATCGTGAATCAACCTGATAGCAAGATACTTCGGTGATGTATAGAAAGGACCTGGAAGAGTCGGTAGCAATTTCCTAGAAACACTGATCACGTTCGATAACTTGAAATCCGATCGAAATCAAAGATGCAAAAGACTTGCGAGAGGATAACAATACCAAAGATAGTGGTTTGCTCGAAGTCGGCGTTGGACGACCGTACCGACGCGGACGACTGCGGAAGGAGCCATCAGCTGCCGAGACAGAGGAAAATAATCAGGTCCAGGAATAGGAAGCACTCCAGGCGTTTCTCGACGAGCATCATCGATCGTCGGTCGCCGTCCTCCTCGCGAAGTCCCTCGCCATCCTATTTCAGATCTCAATCGCAAGATCAAGATGACAAAATTCGAAGGGAATCGAACGATAAGGACGACGACGACGACGACGAGGGCGACGAGGAGGAGGAAGACTCCGACGTTGAGAAAGATCGGAAGAATCGCCCGACGAAGCTGGGAATCAAAACGGGGCCTAAGAACGACAGGTTAGGAAATGGCTGTTACGACTGCCAGCGCGACGAGCAAAGCGATACGATGCTGGAGGCGCGAGTGGACGACGTCGAAACCACGATCGGTAACGTCAATGCCTGTAAAACGAAACTTCCGAAGTGTGAGAAATGTATCAAGGGCGGTTCGGGATACCAGCAGTATTTGAGGCTGCTAATGGTACCGCAGACCAATCTGGAATGGGGAGAAGGTAGCGGTGACGATCTGAGCTCCGAATGGGACTCCGATTACACGGAACGTTTCGCCGAGCGAACCGTCGTGAAGGTATACCTGACAAAACAAATATTGCATATAGCGACTCTCGCACAACCGAGACGATACAGTCATAAATTATCGTTTCAGCCTTGGAATCATTGAACCGATTAACGAGGCGATACGATGTCGGTTTTTCCCGTTTTCTACACAAAAATGTTTTTAACATATCCGTGAAATTTTTTCCGATTAAAATCATGTATACGATGAATTCAACGCAACACGTTGTGTATTGTTTTTACTCGCATTTGCCGCGATGTCGTTGAATCGACGATTAGGAAAATCGTTGGCGTTTATCTCGCGAGACGATCGCATCGACTGAGCCCGAGTGGCCAGAGTAGAGAGGGGGGGGACATTCCACGTTCCAGAATGCCCTTTCAAACGGATCAAAGGTCACCTTCTATAAACAAAGTTTACCCTTCGGAACCCTCCTAGAATTTCTCGTTCTCTTGAAAAGGACAGAGAGCAAAAATGCGAAAATATTCTAGACCGTTGGAAGTTCGTATTAAAGTCTGCTGTTTCGTTCTGTTTCAGTCGTCTGGATGGAGGAAACTGCGGAATATCGTTCACTGGACACCGTTCTTTCAAACGTACAAGAAACAAAGATATCCATGGGTGAGTTATTTTCATTATCGAGGGTCATTGGTTCTCTGGCGGTCCTGAACTATTCCTTACTTTTGTGGTTAAATGATCGTATAGGACGATCTGTCTCTGTCGTGAATGTTCGTTAATGATACAAATTCTTGTTCGATGATCTCAATGTTATGGTTTTGGATTAAAATCTACACCACGGTTTTAATTACGATCTCTATCACAAACGTCGACTACACTTTTGTAACTCATTGGACTACAGAGAACCAATAAGCGTTCAGGCTTGATTTATGCTAGCTGAGATTCTAGAGGCCAAAATAAGACGAAAATCAAGAATACCAATTTGTTCATCGAGGCTTCGTTAAAAAGTTATTAACGTTTAAAGTTGCGCGCTGAGAACGGCTCCATTAATACTCATTGTTTCAATTCTGGATGATTAAAATCCTTCAATCCGTCCAAAAGTTATGATTTTTTAAAGATACGCATGAAAATTCTGAGAAACATTTCTGGCCACAAAGTATATTTTCGGTTAAGAATTTTTTTCTCCAAAATGCGTAGGATTTCGTGGGTATATCTATTGACCAAAAATGATTGTAATTGACCCCTGCAATTGGAAATGATTTTTTTAGAACTATTGGAAATTTTTTAATTTCGTCGAAAAACTTCTCCCCTTACTCGAATTTTTTTCTCGAAAATCAGTACGATTTGGAGGATATGTCTATTCACAAAAAATGCTTGTAATTGACCCCTGCAACCGAAAATAATTGTTTTGAAACGATTTGAAACTTTTTAATTTTGTCGAAAAATTTCACATCTTCCCGAATTTTTTTCTCGAAAATGCGCAAGATTTCGTGGGTATGTCTATTCACTAAAAATGATTATACTTAACCCCCGCAACTGAAAATAATTTTTCCAAAACGATTTGAAACTTTTCAGTTTCACCCAAAAATTTCAGTACCTACTCGAATTTTTTTCTCGAAAATGCGTAGGATTTCGAGGGTATGTCTATTCACCAAAAATGATTGTAATTGACCCTCGCAACCGAAAATAATTTTTCCAGAATAATTTGAAATTTTTCATTTTTGTCGAAAAATTTCAGACCTTCCCGAATTTTTTTCTCGAAAGTGAGTGGGATTTCAAGGGTATGTCTATTGACCAAAAATGATTGTAATCGTCCCTCGCAACTGAAAATAATTTCTTTAGCACGAATGGAAATTTTTTAATTTCGCCGATAAATTCAGGACCTATTCGAATTTTTTTCTCGAAAATGGTTGGGATTTCGAGGTAATATCTATTGACCAAAAATGATTGTAATTGACCCCCGCAATCAACAATAATTTTTCCAGAAAGATTCGAAATTGTTTAATTTTGTCGAAAATTTGTCCACCTATTCGAATTTTTATCTCGAAATTGCGTAGGAATTCGAGGGTATGTTTATTCACAAAAAATGATTGCAATTGACCCCCGCAACTGAAAATAATTTTTTTAGCTCGATTGGAAATTTTTTAATTTCGCCAAAAATTTCAGGACCTACTCGAATTTTTTTCTCGGAAATGGTTGGGATTTCGAGGGTATGTCTATGGACCAAAAATGATTGCAATCAACCCCCTCAACCGAAAGTAATTTTTTCCGAATGATTTGAAATTTTTAAATTTAATTTTTTAATAACTTTAACGAAGCCTCAATGAATAAATTGATATTCCTGATTTTCGTCTTATTTTGTCCCGTAGAAACTCCCATTAAAATTCTCCCATCCCATAAAGACTCATTAAAATCGTAGTCGGGCAGTTGGGATCCTTCCCTTGTCAGTTACATCCTAACCTATAAATCAAGCCTCGGAACGTCGATAAGCCAATCTCCTGTGAACCAACGAATCACGTTTCTAATTACTATTTCTTCACGTATCGATTCAGGTACAATTAGCAGGACATCAAGGAAACTTCCGTGCAGGACCCACGCCAGGGACGATTCTAAAGAAACTTTGTCCCCAGGAGGAAGCCTGTTTCCGATTGCTGATGAACGATATCTTGAGGCCTTTCGTGCCGGAGTTCAAAGGTGTTCTGGACATGAAAGAGTCGGAGGAGGGGAACGCCGAGGAAACCGAGGCCGGTGAAAACGTTCAAAAAGATGGCGCCGGTGACGCTGTGAGCAAAAGGACCGTGGTGTCCACTTACTTGCAGCTCCAGGATCTCCTTGGCGACTTCGAGCATCCTTGCGTGATGGACTGCAAGGTTGGCGTCAGGACGTACCTGGAATCAGAGCTGGCCAAGGCCAAGGAAAGACCCAAGGTACAATTTATGAAACTGATCAGAAAATACAAGGACCATCAAATACCGACAGCTACTCTAAGCCACCATTTTTAAATCTTACCTTTCCCTGCTCGTAGTTGAGGAAAGACATGTACGAGAAAATGGTGCAAGTCGATCCAACCGCGCCTAGCGCCGAAGAACGTCGTGTACAGGGTGTAACGAAACCGAGGTACATGGTTTGGCGCGAGACGATATCCAGCACCGCCACGCTCGGTTTCCGCGTGGAGGGGATCAAGCTTGCTCACGGGGGGTCGTCGAAGGACTTCAAAACAACCAGAACTCGCGAACAGGTTTGTAACTATATCCCCCTGTATCGACTGAACGTAAACGCGAATTACCGACAGAGGCTTCTTTCTTCGTCGAGTTCAGTCGGCTTCCAAATCTTATCGCACATAACCACACTTTGTGAATCCCGTAGGAGTCGTAGTCGGTCGGTACAAATAAGCTGATCAAAGATTGAACTCTGATGGTAGGTGACGGAAGCACTGAGACGTTTCGTGGAGAGCTATCAGCACGCGGTGCCCAAGTACATACAGCGTCTGAAAGCGATCAGGGCCACGTTAAGGGCGTCGCCGTTCTTCGCCTCGCACGAAGTGGTCGGCTCGAGCCTGTTGTTCGTCCACGACGCGAAGAACGCCGGCATTTGGATGATCGACTTCGCGAAAACGTTACCGCTGCCGCAACACTTGCCGCGAATCCGTCACGACGCCGAGTGGCAAGTGGGGAACCACGAGGACGGGTATTTGATAGGCGTGAACAATCTGATAGACATATTCCAAGATATTCGGAACTCCGAGACAACATAGTTCTTTTCTTTTCCTTTTTTTTTTTATCGTACATTTATCGCACACGACACGAACGACGCGTGCAACGGACTCCCCGTCGTTTGTTTTCTTCCCTGATCTTTGTACATAGATTCCACGAACATTTTCGGATGCCTGGTCGACGGTATCCTCGACGAGAAACGGACCAAAGACACGGCGGCTCGCGCGCGCGCCACCTAGGTATTTTCATAGTAAAACCGCTACGATAAACGCACACCGCAAAGAGAACCTTTGTAAAAATAATTTAACGTTCTACCGTAATTACGTAAGTTTTATTTATACGTTACATGCGACGCTGCGAAATCATCTTGATACAAGAGAGAAAGAGAGTGTAATGTATGTGTGTGTGTGTGTGAGTGTGAGCAAGGAGAAAACGTAGTCTTTTTGTATTTAAAATCGTATCATGCATTTGTAAATAATTTCGACACTTAATACAAAAGAAAGGTCAACGACGATCCCCTGTCTCGTGTATATGTGTCCTCGTTTCACCGCGTGACCCTAACCTCCGCGGAAACTGTGCGTAACGATGCAGACACCTACGGGTAAAAATCCACTCGAGCGGCCCTCTACCGGTTTAAAAAACGAAATCTCTCACGAAATCCGACGGCGACGAATTCGATCGCAGCTAACGAGGCGCGATGCTGTGTAATTTTTATTACTTCATTTCTTTACATGTAAATTCGATTCCAGCTTCCGACGAAATTCTGAAACTGCCTTGACAGAGATTAAAGTAAACAATGAACTGATAATGAGAAACAAGAAAATACGATGCGTCAATTCCGTCAGGGTGTGCTGTAGGTACTGTTCCTCGATTGCTGTTGGGCCTGAATGGTCTGCTGCTGCTGGTTCCCCGTCGACTGGGTCGAGGTTATCGTTGTGGGGGCGATCACGCGCGCATAGACCGCTGCGCCGGTGGTTTTCAGTCCCGTCGGAGTCGGTATCACTTTCAGACCGTGCAACGTTTTGATGTTCAGCAGCTGGCTCGGTAAGATGATCGGCTGTTGCTGCGTCTGCTGTTGCGACGACTGCTGCTTCCCGAGGACCACGCTGCCGCCGCTGCTCACGCCCACACCGACGTTCTTGTTCCCGCTGGCCAGAACTATTGGCTTTCCAGCCAGCTGCGCTGTCACCATTCGCACCGTCTGCGGCTGGGACTGTTGCTGTTGCTGCGTGCTGACTATGATCTTCGATTGGCCCGAAGACGTCTGCGCCTGCGACACCACCTGAAAATTTCAGCGGCGAAAGACTGAAACTTAGTATATACCTATATTGTCCAAAAGCAGTCAAAAATGACTACATCGTGAAAGAATCACTAATGCGTAAAGAAATTTGTTTAAAATCAATTTTTAATATTATGAATTTAGGGCGCAAAAGAAATAAAATAAACAACTTGTTGGAACAAGTATCACTGCATAAAGATTCGAATGAACTGCAACTTATCAAGTATACGCCCAAATCGACAATTTATCATGTACTTGGTATGTTACCATGTGTCGGTAATCGAAAAAAAAAAATGAAAACTGTTATTTCAATACAGAGCCGAACTGGTCGTATAAGAAATTTACTCGATTCAATAATAAGTCATTTGATTATTTAAAATTTCCCAAGCAGTCAAAATGACTGCTTTTGGGCAATATAGGTATAACACATGTATATATACCAGAAATGAAGGAGGGGGGAGGTAACTACAATTATTAATAAACGCATTTACATGTTGTGCAAAAAGTCACAAAATTCTAAGAAATTGTGTTCAAGAAATTAAAAATAGTGCGACTCTCGGACTCTCTATTTTCATTTAGAAATTCACCGATTCGGAAAGAATGTTTTGGAAATTATTACTGACGGTTGAGACCAATTTTTGTACCTGATACTGAGTCTGTATGACCTGTTTTCCCTGCCTGTTGAGTTGATTCGCGTGGCTGGTGGTTGCCAGCTTCAATCCTTTCTGCGCAAGTAGACTTTCCACCGAGATGAGCTGACCGCCGCCCGAGCTGGTCAGAACTTTCGCCAAAATTTTCTGTTGCTGTTGCTGTTGCTGCTGGTGCGGGGATTGCTGTATTTGCACCGCGATCGGCTTCCCGCCGATTTGCGCGATTATACGCTGCATGCCGGACGACTGCAACGACTGTTGCTGATTAGCCACCACTCGTTGCTGGATCTGTTGTTGCTGTTGTTGCTGCTGTTGCTAAAACAAGACGAACGCCTCGATAAATTACGAAACGAATCGATGAACATCGCCGATTTCGTACCTTCAGTTGTTGTTGCTGCAACTGCTGCGTCTGGTTGCCGGAAGGCGACGATTGCTTGATGAATATCGTCTGGCCTTGTAAACCGTGACTGGTCAGGAGCGATTTTATCTGCCCGGAGCTGACCAGTTTGATCTGCGAGGCCAGCAACGTTTTTCCAGGCAACACGTGTTGCTGCTGGGACTGTTGCTGCTTCAGATTAGCGGTCTGCAGTATGCTCTTCCCCGCCTGGTTCGTCACGATCGTTTGCTGTTGCTGTTGCTGCTGCGTTTGCTGCTGTTGCTGTTGGCTCTGCACCTTGGCCTGCGGGAATATCGTCGTCAGATTGGTGGTCACGTTCGTGGCGTTGCTGGATACGCTGCTGGCGGCCACCGACTGGGCAGAGTGCAATACAGAGTGCCCGGACAGTCGTATAGTTTGCAGGCCCGCGGAGGTTGACACTTGAATCTGATGGTGGGGGAAGTGTTGCTGATTCGACTGCAGCAAGCTCTGAGCGTTCGCCTTCACAACGGCGACAGGTTTTCCACCGATGTTGGTCACCTTTTTCGCCGGGGCCGTGGTGGTGATTTGTGGTTTAACCGCTTCGCTGCTCGTTATGTCCTTCTCTATGGTCACCGTGCTGATGGAGGTGGAGGCACTCGGGTGGGTCGTGACCGGAACAGTGGTTCCTGACACAGCGATGGCCGAAGTCGTTACATTGATGGTCGTCGCCACGTTCGTAGTGACGGTCGGTTGCTCGGTGGAGACGGAATAATCGACAACTACCTTCTCCTCGATTTTCTTTTGCTCTTTTCTGTAACAATAACGCATGATTTTAAACATCCACCGTAAGGTAGTCATTTTGACTGCTTTTGGGCAATATAGGTATATACTAAGTTTCAGTCTTTCTAGTGTTAAGTTCGTAGTACCGTCACCTAGATCAACTCTGACAACAATTTACCTGGATATAACGGGCTGCGCTATGGTCGCGGTTTTCCTCTCTTTCTTAGGCGTGCTCTCCTTGTTGCTGATCGGCGACTGTTCTTTGTTAATATTAGAAGGTTTTATAACCGGTGGCAACGCTTTGTTTCGCGACATACTACCAACGTTCTTCTTGTTCTTTGCAACTCCTTGCAGCTGTTGATGATACATTTCTACGAAACAAAAAGACGAAATATTGGAGCACCAAGTACAAATTTACCTACTGGACGTTATTTCTTGTAAGAATTTGTGCTTCACGAGAATTAAGGATAAAGCACTTGGACCCTTGAATACTAACCGAATTCGGACTCAGAGCGCGCTCGATGAAGATACAACCACTCTTTGCGACGCGGGTAGTATCGAACGCAGGGATCCGTTTCGTAATGCAACCTGTCCAGAGCGCCGGACACAACCGAGTGCAGGTATCCTTCCTTGTCGTCGCTGTCGGTTTGCTCCCTGATATACTGGGAATCCTTCAGAAGCTGGCAAATATCGGCTCGGGTTCCCTCGCCGTTAGGAAGCCTCGCGGTGGCGTCTCTCACCAGTGCCAGGATCGTTACGAAATTTGGTCGATCTGCCACCAGTAACGAGTGTCCACGAGCTTTGGTCAACCCCGAGGCTGTTGAAAAAACAAAATAGCTCGTAAAAAGTATTACTTTGTCCACAAGAGCTTCATGTTACCCTGAACCATTTTATCAATGAATCTTTATTTCCATATAGAGTCGACTGACTTTGAGAGGGACACATTCTAACGTTATAAAAATTCTTTCTATGCAGAAGTAAACCTACCGACATTATGTTGATAGATGCCCTTAACCGGACCCACGACGGACGCGTAACCATGCATTCTGTAAGTGAACGCTTTGTGAGGCGCGGCGTAACGCATTCGCTCCTGTCTCCTGAACTCGTCGCGCTCGTCCAACGTGGAAGGACGAACCTTCCATTCGGTGGGCCACAGAGCACGCGGTGGTTCCCATTCCGCGATGGTGTTAATGGACCCACCATCGACGCTGATCGACTCGATAGCGGGACTGTTAGCTCTGCAAGTCGCGTTTATGTTTCCATTGCCGGCGGTGTTATTGACGTTGCTGCTGGCGGTGGTCACTTGAGGTTGTTGCTTTATAGTCACCATCGTGCACGCGACGGCCGCTGTTGGTGGACCTAGCGAATCTCTGGAACGTGACAATATTTTTCTGTGGACGAAATTATCTTTCAGAAGTTAGGTTTGGGTTGCTCGATTGCTTTCATACCTGTGTAATAAGAATTTCGCGCATAAATCGGTCAGACGGGAATCCGAGTCTCGTCCAGCGCCGATCCAAGCGTAAACTCCGTTCCCTTTGTTCTCTAAGTAGGGGACAAGCTCTGGCTCGCGTTCCTGACGGTCACCCAATTCTTGAGAATAAGTGAACTCTCCGGCGAGGAATCCCAAAGCCAATGGGACCAGGGCAGTCCAAGAAGACGCCATGGAATACCTGTATCAACGTACGCTGTTAAATCCTTGGCTAACACGTTTCCAAGTTCGTTCACGAGCTAGCTCGAACCTCGACGACTGTGTACCAACCAATCGTTCAACGGAGAAATAGGATTCCCTTGCCACTGCATGATGGCGTCCTTCATCTCTCCCCCGCTCATTCTGAACTCGCCCTTCGAGGTGAAAGCGTCCCTCAGCAGCGAGAAGAAACAAGCGTGCGTCTCTTGCATCAGCTCCGCACCGCTGCTGATGTCCATAACGTCGTCGTTCGCTGGAACGTTAAGTTCTTTGTCCGGAATCGATATAACACCCTCGTCCTCGCATTTAACATCGTCCAGTATGTCAATCCCATCGTCGAGTTGTATCGGTATTTGCATCATATCGATACTGTCCAGATCGAGCTCCTTCTTGTCGCTCTCCTCGTCGTCCTCCGTTTCGGGAGGAACGTCATCGTTCACGGCGTTGAATTCTGTTTTAATATCCTCGTACTCTATGTCCTCCACCTCTTTCTTAATCTCTGGCGTGGATATTATCGAAGATTTACTGCCCCTCGACGTAGCTGGACTCCTACAAAACAAAAAAAGAGCTCTAGACCTTCGCGTTGTTTCTTTACCAAAAAGGATGGAAGTTTCTTTGTTCAAACATTCCCACGACCAACAAAGCGAAATTACAATTTCTTCTTCGACATGTGATGCATCTCGTACGCGTCTATAGGCTCCGATTTGATCGGCGTCAGCATCCTGTGGTCCATGTCCAACGCGTTGGAATGTCTATTGTCGTCCGTCGTGTGAGAATAATCACTGTTTTCGCTCTCGTGTTTTATCGAGTTCGTGTTTATCAATCTCGGCGCTGGCGGGCAGAGTGGAGACTGTTCCAGCTTGATCCGTTTCTTCGCCTGCGTGATACGCATGGACGGACCGATGGACAATTTATGCTTGTGGCCGATCTGTGCTCTTTGAGTGAGATCGGCCAGAGCGATACCCTGGGTGTTCAGTTCTGGATGTATCTGAAACGATACCGTGAATCGTGAACGTAAACTGTACCGACCCGACCATCAAGTTTTCAACTGCGTAACTCTAGCTATTTTACTTACATCACGACGCGCTCTTCGCTTTTTATGCTGGAGCAGCATCTCGCGATACATCTCCTCCGTCTGCTCGCGAATGAACAACGACCTGTTCGCAGGGTACTCCGCGCGTTGCAACGTGGAGAACACAGGCCGAATGGTCTCATCCTCGTGGTTCATTTGCAAGCCCCTGATCGACAGGCCCTGGGAGCTCATGAGCGAACGCCTCTTCTTCTTCTGCTTAGCACCGGACAGCTGATAATAAGGATAGTTCTCCTCGTTCTCGGATGTCGTGTCCGCCGCCAGTTTCGCGTTCGCCCCGAGCTCCGTCCTCAGCGCATTCAGTTCCTCCAAATAGCGCAGTTGCGTTTTCTCTTCAACTGTCGGTGCATTGCTTGTTAGTATTGTCCCTCGGAAGTTACTACATACTTCTCTGCCAAACGGCTGGAGCGTGGGGGGAAGTATAAACAGCCAGAAAATTTTTCACAACGATTTGCAGCAGTAGCCCAACTTACCCATAGCCGGTTTCGGTTTTCTCCATTGGATTTTCGACACCGTTCTCTGCGTAGGCTGACAGAAACCTTGCTTATACGCGTTTAATAGCAAACTCTCTCTCGACTTCAACAACTGACTGGCCAGCTCGTAAGAACGTTTCCGTTCTTCGAACAACAATCGTCTTTGCTGCGCCTTGCGCACCAGACCGCACATCCTTCTGATGTCTGGACGATAATGGCCGGCGGACAGGTGGGTGTGAAACGCGTCCAAGGGTGCCACGTCGAATCTAAAATAACGAACGTTCCAGTTGGAAATAAATCCATTGAAAAACGGCTGATTCTCAATAACCTCTGATTCTCTCGATCGAACAGCATACGCAAGGTTTTCTCCGTCTCCGCGTCGACGTCGCAGTCCTTCGGGAAGCTTGGCAAAAGGCTGCACAACGTCTCCCTTTGATTTTCAGTCAGGCATTCGTTCCAAATATAAGGGTAGTCTAGAAATTCTTTAAAAATTGCCGAATGCTCGCAGAGATCTTGCGGTAGTTTCACCTTGGTGTTCGCGGCTACGCAGGTCTCCCATTTCTAAAATAACATTTTTCACTTAAAATGTTTGCTCGATAATAAAATATTATAAATATACGTACGAAGGTATCGGGACTCTCTGCTTTCATAGAATATTCTGTGTTATCGTTTTCATCTTCGTCTTCTTCTCCCGAACTATGACTCTCACTACCACTTGAACCATGATCCTCTCCGCTATCATCTCCACTATCGGTCGATGTACTAATGCTACTGCTACTACTGTTGCTCCTGGACCCGTGAGAAGACGCATCGTCTTCGTCTTCCTCTGCTCCGCTATCACCACCAGCCGAGCATTCATCCACCTACGAGTATCACGTGCATGTTCGATTAAAATTTATAAAATTATGACCACGATAAGAGAAAACAAATACAAGTAAATATAATTTCGTTCCATTCGATATTGTAATCTGTTCGTATCGGTCAACTGTTCTTAATAACAAAAATTTTAAGGATCTTAATCTACATTGAGTCAGCTATCGCAAGAATGTATAGTCAGTAACATAAGTTCCTAACCTCATCGTTTGCAAAAGAAACTCGTTAAAATCAAGCTTATAAGATTTTATAATAAAGTTTCTACTATAAAAGGACACGTATAATGTTTATTCGTACTAAATCATAATAAAATGGAGTAGCTTGACGTTCAACAACAATGTAAATAAAACAAAATTGCCTTCGCTGAGCATGGTACGAACACTTTTGTCAACTGATATTGCGACCCACATAAACTCAAATCCAAATGTTTTCGTTATTCGTTATTCAACTGTGTTAAAATTTCGTACATGTAATCTTTACATACGCGTCTATTTACGTCGAAAAACTTATTGCACAATCTTCTAAACGCAGCATAAAAATTTTAACAAACTTGTTTTGCAAATAGCGCAAGTACGAATACTTACGCGACCGACTGTATAATGTTAATGAAATACAAAGTCCAATCGAGATTTATTTAATCGCCACAAACAAGATGAACATTGCACGGTGCTATGCAAAACTGTTGGAAACGCGTACGCGCGTTCGAAGAACGATCGCTCAATTAATTATACGTTTCTGGCTATCGAAATAACGAACGTACACAGAACGACGAGCGACACTAACTTTATCCAGGTATAACGTGACACGGGGTATGCATGACGCGTTTCCAGCGTATACAGTGTTATCGATCACGCGGACGTGTAATTTCGAAATAATTAATCGCGACCAACCTCCATTTCTTTACAGTTTCTCCACACTCGGTTTAACCCTCGTTCCGCGAGTTACGCTGCCCTCGCGGAAAACACTGGAATCCTTCGTCGTCGACGATAACCGCCGAAACAGAGAAACCAAGAACCGAGGAGATATCTAACGACGTTTTCTCGATGCGGAAAATCCTCGTCTCGCGTCCTGCGAATATTAAGTAATCTCGCCGTTCGCCGTTTGACCTGTCACTGCTACAGCACTCCTACTCTCCCGACAAATTGTAGTCATGGCGTGGAATACAGCGAACAGAACCACGGTGTTTGTATATGAAGGATGTCGAGAGCGCGCACCTTCTTCACCGATTCACTGCCGCGGTCCGTTCAATGGCGGACAATTTTAGGGCCGGTTCAAACGCTGATCGACGCACGAACGATCGAACCTATTAATTCTGACAAACGGACGGTAAATTACGAATCTTCCGCGTTAACGCGATCGCGTATTTGTTAAATTTTTCGCTACGCGCGAGAGTCAAAACCGAGTATTTCGCGAGCTGCTCGTAAAACCGTCTAGTAACATTTGCTCGGTGTCGATGTCTGTTGGCAGGACTGGAACGAGAGCGAAATTCAATTCGAATCGAGTATCGAACGAACGACGAAGATCATTGTTTAACACTATTCCTATCAAAAATCAAATGACCGTTTTTAAAATTTCGTTTAGAATTTCCTATATACAACGTAATTGCATCGTCTTTAAACTTCACGACTTTTCCTGAAATATACGTGTAATACTTTTTTTATTGTTTATTTTCTGAGAATTTATATTTTTATTCTATCATTATTCTATTCTTAATTTATCCGAATGAAAGAAACTATATCTTTATACTTGTATTATAAATGTAACCTCAACAAACGTAATAAGTAGAATGTACAATGAAATGGTGGCTGATACAGTAGATCACGCACACGTGACAGTGGCCAAAGTCTGCTAGCTCGCGAAGTCACGTATACGTGACAGCGGCCGTCAAAGTGTTAAAAAATATAAGTTGAGCTGAAAACCGGTCGCGGTAGGAATAATATTAATAAACAAGAATAGCAAATATTTGTAAGGAGTGTAAAAAACAGGATATGTCGTGACAAATTTTGAAAACCGATACATTTGTTGAATCAGTCTTTGATCCGCAGTGCAGTGCTAATTTCTGATCCTATTCTCAAAATAAAATGTAAATTTGTTTTTTAAGAGTTTCTAGTGCATCGTATTCTACTCATCGAGTAAAATATATACATAACAAGAAACGTGTTGCATAGTTTTTTTTATTTGCCAAAAGTGTTTTAACAAATGAAATATATAGAAATATAACGACTACGTTAAGGAACTAAATGGTCACCTGTATAAAATTTCAGAAAAATATATGTTCTCACGTTAGAAAACATGTATAGTTATAAAGCTGTATTGCACAAACGATCTACTGAATATAATTATACAGGCTTCTAACCACCGATACTTAGGTACGGTAGTAAGTTTGTACTGTTGTCGCTTAATATATAAAGTATCCTGGAAACGTTGAACATCAAACTTTCAATTTATATATATATATATGTATATATATAAGAGACTTCTAACATGGTCTATATAACGTTTTTCCTATTTCAAAAATACTAATTATTTAATTTCGTATTAATGCTCTTCCTATAAATGATTTTTATATGTCACGTGTCTTTATATCCTTAGGTACTAATGGTACCAGCTACGAGGATAAACCTATTAGTAACAACTTCAGTCTTTCTGATATCACAGGTTATCTTTCATATCTATGTTAACCCCTTCCCGTGCTTTAACGAGTCTGGCTCGTGATGAAGATTGAATATCACGAACCAGACTCGCGGACAGAAAGTCGACCCAAACATAAACATCATCAGCAAACCACGATCGTGATTGAGTTTTAGTTCCTATCGCTACGCCACAAGAGTTGGTCACGATTCTTATAATTTTTGTTGCACAGCAGTTTAGTATCAGTCTGATCTGTTTACCGTTGACGCCTATAGTTTGGGCCCGGATTTCGTCGAGGTAAATCACACGGGAAGAGGTTAATGCAAATTAACTAGCTAAATGTAGGTTAGGTACTAGCCTGTTGAAACGTTCTTACAAGTATACCACCTCAGAATATCACGACTCCTACGCAGACACATTACTAGATGAAAACGTAACGGCACGATTATTATATATTTTGAGGCGGAGTATGCTGATTGCCATTTTGTGCGATCCCGTTACAAGTTGTTTCTGGAGTGATAGGTAACATAGGTGCGTATTGCATATAATGCGGTTGGCCAGCAACTGCGTACCAGTGTTCCTGCATGTTTTGCGGCGACATGTTGTACGGGGCTGGTTGTGGGCATATGTACGGCGGGCATAAACCTGGATAAGCTTGGGCATAGTCTACGCCGGGACACAGATGCTGTGGAAATGGCTGTGCATTGTTGTTATCGGGTATCTCGGGATACGGTAGACAAGGGATTGGGAAATACGGGCTTGGAGAATAGTAAGAATTTGTGAATGTATCTACTTCGTTCGCGTAATACATGCCTGGTTGCACGTAAGGCGTTTGATAAGAATTTACCGCGTCTGTGGAAGCGTGTGCCTGGTGTGGTACTGCGCGTGCGCATTGGAGGTTTGTACCGCTACCTTTAGTCTCCTGCGACTTCGAGTATTTGGAATTCGGTCCACTCTGCAGATACTGGTTGTTTGGCGATGGAAACTGTTGATTGTTACGATATCGATCTGAAAAAAAATACCAAAATTTGTTGGTAATTCGTAAATAACAGCTAAGGGAGATTTTCCAAAATTTGTATGAAATATTACTGCCACGTACTGTCTGAACTTTTCTTAAATCGAGGGCCCAAACCGTTCCTATTTATGCGCGGTGAGTCCATATTAACAGGCTCCTGTTCCTTTATTTTCTCACGCGGCGAATATACTAGATCCTTTTCGTTCTTTCCTCTTGAAATCTCGTTGCTTTGAATCTGCACATCCTTTACACCGTTCATGTAATTATCACCATTTTCTTGGCACAACGATTGCCCGAAAGTCTCTTTACGATCGTTGCAATCTTCTTTCTTTTGTGGCGTCAACGTGCAATTTTGCATTATGCCGTTCGTAACATTTATCGCTTCCTCCTCGTTTTGAGGCATACCTTTTGAACAAGTATACTTACAATTAAGGGGCGCAACGACAAATATACGATCTGTAATTTAATCTGAAATTTAATGCACCTTGGTACCATTGTCCAAAACCGGGTGATTGTCCATTCGTCAAATAATTCCAATTACTGGTTCCATGAAAGTACTGTAAAATAATTTGAAATTAAGAGACTATCGATTTATCGATTAATTTGTAACGATTAAACGAGTCGTACCTCTAATCCTAAATTATAAAAAAATCTCAAGGTAAATGGATCTACAAAGAAAAGAATATTTATGAATGGTGCTATTGCATTAGATGAATATTAGGAATGGGCGGATAACCGAACTTCCGGACAGTGATGGACATTCGTGGGAATTTTGGACATGCGCACTAGAATTTTCATGTTTTGTACAAAATTGAACTTTCCACTTCAAATGCTCGCCAATCACACAAAAATTAACTTATCCAAGATCCTCTACGTATTTCTCTACCTATACTCATGTAGATTAAGAGGAAATTTTTTGTTTTTGTTTCTTTCTCTGTAACTTCCTTAAATTTTGTTCCTTACTGGGATCCATTGGTACTCTAAATTCTAGTTAAGTGTATACGACAGTGATCATGCGTTCCACTGCGCATGACCAAAATTCCCACGAATGTCCATCGCTGCTTCCGGAACGCGGTCTATTTTTATTTTTACCTGATAATGGCAAGTCGCTACCGTTTACATCGACACTTTTTTGTACAGAACAATTAATAGAACACAACACGTTGTTCATTCGATTAACAGGAACAGATTCTCCTAATGGAATACGAATTATTGACACGAACGACTATACCTCGAAATATTGTAATTTGAAATGTTTAATTACATACCGGAATATGATAGACTATAGTTATCATTTTCAGTCTCCTGTTTCGGGTACAAGTGGAATTCAGCATTATTACCGGTATTCGTTACGCAATCAAACTTTGAATTTTTTATCACATTATCCTCGGAAGATTTACTTCCAAGCAAATTCTTTTCTTTGTGTTCTGTACCATTCTTCTGCCTGACATTGTCCACTGCAGAAGAATGGATATTGTCAAGAATCATCCTTGTAGAAAATATTTCATCCGTGTTCTAAAAGAACAAATTTTTTTTACAACATTTTGTACGCCTTTTGTTATCGTAACCATTGAACGATTCAACTTACATTAACTAAATAATCGGGACACTTTTTCAACCCATAATTTTCATATGTTTGTCGATGTTCTATTTTTCTACAATAATACGAAGCAAACTTTGAATCGAATCTCAATCGCAAAGTAAAATACTTTACTGAAAATTAAATGATACACTTACGAAGATTCTTCCTTCCACTGATAGTTATTTCTATTAACATCGCTGATGCTATTATCGTTGTTTTCATTTTTATCAATATTACTTGATAGAATATTGTCGTTCGGAACAGTCTGAATCTTACGCGAAGTTACACTGCACGTCTTCTTCCACTTATGATCTGTCGATGCATAGAATAAATATTTTATAGGAAAATGTACACGTTAAAAATACTGTATACACATTTTTAACTACTAACTTGAGTCTAGTACATTTTTTTTGCACATCGGCAGCCAATTGTTCTGTTTATTTTTCCTTAATGGTATTGGTTTCAAAGCACAATAAGGCACGATTTTTTTCTCTCCTAATTCCTCGATAAAAACCAACACGGGACCCTGATTTTTATTCATTTCTTGAATGTGACCATAAAAAAGCACAGGATCTGGTTTCCCTTTCTTCTGTAATACTTTCATGTTATCGTTACCGTTAGCGTCTTTTTCGAGAGAAGTCACGTAAACATTATTGTTATTAGCCTTGTCAAATTCTTCCTCGTTAAATTCCATTTGTACCAAGCATTTACTACCAACTTGAAGTTCATGGCTATTGTGCTTAGTCCATCCTGCATTTTTCACTTCTAAAATATTTAAATTTTCATTAATCACTTTGATATAGTGACGCGATACTTGACACAGACAGACTTGTTACCTTTTCTAATTTCATGCCATATGTCAAAGTCGGTGTTACGATAAATATTCGGATCAAGAGCTTTCGCGACTCTATATGGAAAAGGTGGTATGTTTCTTACTATTGTTTGTGTATCGTCAACCTCGTCATTTCCATTTCCATTTTCGACTTTATTGTATATCTCTGCAGTCAACTGACTAAACGATTTGGTCAAATTAGTATCGCATTTCTGATCGATTTCTTATATCGATACAATTATTGATTAACTTACTCTCGCATTTCAAGATTGCCTTTAAGGAAGAACTTGTCGTGCCTGAATGTACCGGTTCGATCGTGTAACATTTTATGGATGGTAGTCTCTATGTTAGACATGTGAAAGACATCCTTGTAAAGTACTTGATAAACTATAGCTGTTCGTAAAACATTATGTTGGTTAAAAAAATAGAAATAGCGTTAGGGGTGTTCAGGTACTCGAAATTGAAGAGTAATCGATTCTCGATCCGAGTCGAACCAGAAATTTCCGGCACCCGAACACCCTTAAATACAGTAGAACGTTGATTATCCGAACTAATAGGAAGACAAATTAGTTTCTTAGTAACTAGTTTTTCGGGTAACGAGTTTCTGTAAATTAAACAGTGCTAACTTGGGATTTATATCGTTTAAAGCAAACATCTTGTTTTACGTTCTAATTCGAATAATTGACAGATAGATTCCTAGCAAACTAGTTCAATGATCGGGGTGAGTTATAAGCCATTCGATTCGTCTAATTCAGTACATTATTAATATGCATTTCTAGTCTATTCTATATTTTTTGGGTGCGATACTAACACTATCGGCTTTATAATAACACCATTTAGTCACTTGTTTCTACCTGTGCACCAGTCAAAAAATGTACTTAACCTTACTCTTTTACTGTAACTTTACAAGCATAAAAAAATAACAAATTTTTGCAGATAATGAAATGCATATCAATAATTTACTGAATTAGACGAATCGAATTACGTATAACTCACCCTGATCTTTGAACAGGCCGTTTGCTAGGAATGTTTCTAATTGACATTCTACCGTGTATATGCATAATACGATTCGTACATTGGCAATAAGCAGCAGTCGCAACTACGTCTCTCGTATAAATTGTGTCATACTGTTTCTGTGGGGTATGGCATAAATATATCATATCTTTGAAACCATTATCTGTAACGGTACAGCGGGTTTGCCTCTGACCATTAAATATAACAAATTCTCTCTTAAACAGCAACGACATGGCTTGAATTTCATTCATACCACCCCATTCTGTAAAACATGCCATTTGTTCCAGGTAATCGTCGAATGGAATCATCACGTTCTGAAGAGATTAATCAAAAAATTAACAAAGGTACAAAAATAATTCTTGTGCACATTAACCTTTTTGATGTGGCAAATTCGACTAAGAATAAATAACTCGATTTTTGAAAAAATTTCAATGTGATTTATCATTGGAGAATATGATGTTAGAAAAAAAAAATAGTATGAATTCTTATATACAAAAGGAAAGGTAACAAGACATTAATATATAAAATAATTTTTTTGTAAACATAAATTAACAAATTTGAAAACATTTTGCCAGGAGTTATAGTCGATGTTAGTATCAAAAGGGTTAATATCGGGTAAAATATCGCACAAAATATATTAAATCTACCTCTTCAAACAAATGTCTCATTTTTCTCATGAATTCCACACACTTCTTCCTGACCCTTATGTGATAATATTGTGTCATATAAACTTGTTCGCTGACTGCTCTGAACAAACAAGTCGGATCCCTCGGTGCCTGTTTCCTAAAATATCCTTCATTTTGCAACCATTCGTCAACAGGTTCCTGAGCACGTTTCGACGGCTTTCTGGGTGATATTTCCATCTTACTCTATCGAAGTAAATAATAAAAAAAAAAAAAGGTCTTGGTTTTATTTAATTCACTGAAATAGAAAACGTAAACATCCATGTATCAGATATCCTATTAAAAGAATCATATTTACTTTCAAACGTTCGAAAAACATGAAAGGACAATGTCGTCTGTGATTGATCGCGTGAGTCGCTTATTTGAAAATTGAGAATAAAAAAAAATATAATGTAATCTCGGTCGTAAATACGATCTATTTGTACCTGATACGAGAGAAACTAGCGATACGTCGAGGATATTCGTTTGGGAAAAGATCGTCTATCGGGTCGAGATTGTTAGAAACGTTCAATTTAACTTTTACTTTACACTCGTGTTACCACCATGGCTACCAAAGGACTAGCAAAACAGATCCTTCTTCGCAAGCTTGCCATTAGAATCGACGTCCACGAAACTATTGGACGAAAGTAACTCGTCGACCAATCGCGATCCGTCGTTTCGTTGCTTTCTGTCGGAAAAGGACCACTACCCCACTTAAAGACGATTCCGTCAGGCAACATTTCTTTTGTTTCCATTTTCGCGCGACTGTTTGAATAGCACACGGTCTGGTACTTACAATCTATTTCTGAACGATGAATTTATGTGAATTAAAATTTGTCGATCGAGGATGCTAGAAATATTATTATAAAAAATTGTAAATATTGAACCATTATGAGAGTGTACAAGACAAAATTTGAATCTAAACAAACGTAGTTGAATGGACAGACATGACAATCGAAACGATAAAATCACAAAATTCAAACTTCAAAATTCTGGTATTCAAATATTTTCGTGATCGTCTATACATACCGTTAAAGAGGAAACAAGTATACTTTGCGTTGAAAATATTGTTTTCAGATGCACCGATACATAAAAATGAATAGTATTACTTTCAGTTTGTGCATCGTTCGATGTCGTACAGAAATGAAGCAAAGAATTTAATGAAATCATATCTGGGTGACCACAAGATTCTTCCTTTTTTACAAATTACTTTTTTATTCGTCATAATTTTTATCAGAATGACAATGCGATGTGTACGAAATATTAAAAAAGTACAATAGCCCGTTATATAAAATATGATTTTTACAGAAATATAAGATCAACCGCTGTACCATTGCGATATATCTGTAACGCATGCAATGCTACCCAATTTTGTTGCTATCGAAAATAACGTTTGCCTGCGTGCAGAGCTTTCTTAGTATAAAAAGTACATCCTTTGGCGAGTTAGTGAATACAGACGGATGTCGATACAAGCCCAATTGGTTATCTGATCGTTGATAACGTTTAAAATCGAATAGGTTTGCTCGTCATGATTTTATCGTATGTCTTAATCAAGCTTGGGCCCGGACCCTCATCGTCGTTCCGTTGTTAATAAGTTTCGTGTAAAAAATCGACTTGTGCGTCTCGCCGAAAGGAACGCTCACATGGCGGTAGGATAAGTATAATCATAAGATTACATTAACACAGTGTTTCGCATTCTCCTTTGTTTCCTGTCGGCAATGTATGAATAATTGTTATAAAATGTCATGATATAGAAAATGGAAGAAATGAGTCGCTGCTCCTTTTCCTTTCTGTCTTTTCTTCGTTTTGCGAAAACTTCGTTTTAAGCAGCTATTTTCTCAGCATCGATCGCTGAAACAGAAAAACGTCGTCCCTCGTTCCAACAGTGTTCCAAACTTGCAAAAAAAAAATAGTCCTTGGAGACACGTTCGCTCACCTTCTTTGGTTGGCAAGACATTTTTCTCCAGCGTTTCTGCGTGTTTCAGTTTCGCCGGATCGAAGTTTTCAATCCCCGAGATCAGCTGTTGCTTTCCTTTCTCCTGTTGGATAGCTGCGCGCAAAAATACAATATCCCGTCAATACTCGAACACGGTCCGCGTTATGTTTTTTTTTTTCATGTTCGGTCGGTGTTCATCCCGTGGCACGATAAGGATTTGTAAAACGCAACGAGAATCTACGAAAGCTTCGAAATACGATACTGTACCGTCTTTGTCAGGTAGGGGATTTTTTTCTTGGGTCTCGGTGTGCTTCAGACTGGTCGGGTCGAATTTCTCGATGCCGGCGATCAACGTTTGCTGAGTTTTTTCCGCGGCTACATCTGCAAAACGGTAACTCAGGGTCAAAGAACGAAGTACAAAAAAAAAAAAAGAGACCATGTACCGCGCGAAAAAAACCCCCGAGCAACTATGAACCGTAGAAACCCATAGATCCGTATCGACCGACGTTAAGACCAATAATTCCCAATAGATGCGACAGGTTACACTGGGTGTGCTTGTGACGATAGTACCGATGTGCCACGGAAAATTTATAGATTCAACGTGAAACGACAGAAACAATAGCAGAACGGTAAACATGGATTTTATACCCTCGATTTGGTACGTATCTCCTGTTAAGAAGTTCGACACCGCCAGCTGATATTCTTTTACGTATTGTCTGGGTATATTTTTCCAATTCTTTGTTTTGACATTGAATCGAATACCGTAATATCGAAGCATCGAAAAGGAATACTTAAAATTTCTATGTGCACGATGTAGAAGAACAGATGGGATGAAATGTTGATGGGTGTGTAAAGCAGAGTGGAAAACATTATACCTTTGTTTATTAATATTTCGAACGAACGCCATGGGACTATTTAAAAAAACAGCGTAATTGTGTTGCCTGTGCGTTTGCGTAACATCTGTGAACAAAATAGACTATCGTGCTGTGTTTCTTAGGCGTCCAACTTACACTGTTTTTGCACGTTATCCCTTGGCGATGAACGTCGAGAAAGCTGTATTCAGTGTTATTATTGCGATATTTCTAAAATGTTTATCATCGACGCGTACGTAACATTGTGTTATTATCGTTGCCGGTACAGAGTACGAGACCAACGATCGCGCATGCAAAGTAATTTCCTTCGAAGCTATCGGTAAAGCGTGAGTTAACGTGTGAATTGTTTGCTCGCGTGTATTTCGATCGCGCCACCTCGAAGCACCAAAGCCAACAGAGCGCCCTCCCGATCACCGATCGGAAACTTAGAGAACCAGGTAGCCAACTCCTAGCGAACGAAAAATTACTATGGTACCTTTGGCGTTGGGTAATATCATCTTCTCTTTCGTGTCGGCGTGTTTCAACTGATCTGTCTTAAAAGACTCCACATCGTGGATTAAATCAGAATGCCGTCTCTCTTGTCGCACGTCTACATACAATATTACGACTGTTATAATCTCGTCGGATATATTAGTTTATTCGTTAAACACGGCGTTATGACGTTAATACAGTTTTAAATGTGAGGAGCACGTTCGCGTGAGAAAAAAAAATTGTATTTTTGCAAACGGAAACTGAACGATTTAAAACAAAAGCAAAGCTAGGTTATGTACCTTCGGCGGAAGGTAAAACGTTCTTTTCGGCGGTCGCAGCTTTCTTCATGCAACCATGATTGAAACCCTCCAGTTCGCTTTTCAAGTCTAAGGCTACTTTTGGCAGGTCTTTCAACGACGGACTTGACATGGTGGCTGTGTTGTACTCCTCAATCTAGAACAAAAAAAATAAACAATTGTCACTGACGATACAAATGTTCGGTAAAATTATTTCGATCCTCGGAAGAGAATAACTTTTCAGTTTCTTTGTCAAACCATATTTCATAGTTCTCTCTGTCTAGGGATATCCTTGACATTCGTTCAAATTATGACCGTAATGTTATCTACCGATCCATAAACTTTCGTTAGTCGTCGACGTGTAACCGTATGTTTACGAATCAAATTTTATTGCCTAAAGGTTAGGTTATGCAGGGGATATTCGATTCATATCACGATTCAGCTCCTTAAAAAATCACTAAAATTTAAATTACAAGCTTTACCACATCATTTGAGATTAAAAATCGTAACTGAAGGGCTAACGTGTCGGATATGTTTTTAAAGGAACTCGTAACAGCCACAACGCCGATGTAACCTCAAAAACCGTCAATCCTTTGCGAATAATTCCAAACAATCCACTTTTCAGCTACAATCACTTAACTATCTCTCCATAGAATTTCAAGATCCAAAATTCTGGACACTACACATGCAATATATAACACCTAACAGACTTTTTAACTTATGTTTACCGATCAACATTTTTTATCGAGAGATTTGTTAATATGTGCCACGATCAACCCTAATAAGTTAACGACAAACTGAATTCAAAGGGAAATTTAACTGTTACGAGATTCTGTAACGCATTACGTATTCCGATATTCGCTACTCAAGTAATAAATATTCTTTTTGTTACTTTGCAAACCGCAAGAGTTTCCGCTTTGGTCGGCCCGCGATACGGAGGGGAAAAAAAATTACTTGGAGAAAGAACTTCCAATTACGAGAAGCGATACGAACAATTCGAACCGCACAATCTGAAATTAACCGTTGTGTTTTTTCCTACGCGGGACGCGATGCGTTTCTGTTTACCATGTTCGACGTTAACAAAGGAGCCACGTTATCGATGAGACAATACACGTTTTCTTCGTCGATTCTTTAATGTTTCCACACCAACGATCGACACCTACAGTTAAAGCCCTTTCACACGACGATGCTTGTATGCGATACAAGTATTATTGGATACCCGGAGCGTCCATGCAAACTCAATAGGAATGTTCCGACTGTGATTCTCGACGAGGAGAATGTCAGACCTGATCCTCAACGATTTTAATGATATTTCGCGGGCTTGTAGATCCGTATGTACAACAACCGTAACCAGAGTTATGACCGTAGACGAACAGTTAGTTTTAGAAAATAATTGTGAAATTTTTTTTTCAGTTTTTCTTCTATTAATCATAATACATTGCTTTTTAATAATTGTTATAATATAATCGATAACACTGCCTCTACTTAGGATTCGAAATATAACAGAATTACTTTGCAAAGACCGACGAGTCACCGTGATCCTCGCGCGAGATGCAGACTGCAGAAACATAAGTGCCATAAATTCCAGACGAGTAACGGCACCGTTTCTGGCGAATGCAAAGGTAAGCAAGTGGTGCTCGTCTAGCATTTCCGGTCTCGTCTTTTTTTTCTACAGACGAAAATAACGGATTTGCCATAATTATGTCTGCGCGTAAGGCATACACATTATATACTTTTAAAATGCACGGCATTCCGCGCTTGCCCTAATTAACGAATATACCGGACTCGTTAAATCGAATGAATTCGATTCCCAACGAATTTTTATTAAAAAATTTAACGCTTTCGTTGAATACGACGTAAAGCATTTTTATTTATCTGCAAATTTTAGCGATACAGACTGCCAAGTAACGCGTTACGAAGCGGAAGTAGCAGAAGCTCGCCACTTCCGGCCAGCCGTTGCCTTCCATTTCGTTTCTTGTCACACATCCTTCGCGTATAATTTCCTACCGAAACCTCGTCATTTTTAAGAAGCAGGATTTTATTTCTTTTTCGTTACAAAACTTCTATATAAATATACAGGGTGTTCAGCCAATGTTGATCGCAATCATTTTTAATCAATAGACATACCCTCGAAATCCCAACCATTTTCGAGAAAAAAATTCGAACAGGTGGACAAATTTTCGAAAAAATTAAAAAATTTCGAATCGTTCTGGAAAAATTATTTTCGGTTGCAGGGGCCAATTACAATCATTTTTTGTGAATAGATATACCCTCGAATTCCTACGCACTTTCGAGACAAAAATTCGAATAGGTGGACAAATTTTCTACAAAATTAAGAAATTTCAAATCATTCTGAAAAAATTATTTTCGGTTGCGGAGGCCAATTACAATCATTTTTGGTCAATAGACATACCCTCGAAATCCCAACCATTTTCGAGAAAAAAATTCGGACAGGTGGACAAATTTTCGAAAAAATTCAAAAATTTCGAATCGTTCTGGAAAAATTATTTTCGGTTGTAGCGGCCAATTACAATAATTTTTTGTGAATAGATATACCCTCGAATTCCTACGCACTTTCGAGAAAAAAATTCGAATAGGTGGACAAATTTTCGAAAAAATTAAAAAATTTCGAATCGTTCTGGAAAAATTATTTTCGGTTGCAGGGGCCAATTACAATCATTTTTTGTGAATAGATATACCCTCGAATTCCTACGCACTTTCGAGAAAAAAATTCGAATAGGTGGACAAATTTTCGACAAAATTAAGAAATTTCAAATCATTCTGAAAAAATTATTTTCGGTTACGGAGGCCAATTACAATCATTTTTGGTCCATAGACATACCCTCGAAATCCCAACCATTTTCGAGAAAAAAATTCGAGTAGGTCTTGAAATTTTCGGCGAAATTAAAAAATTTCCAATCGTCCTAAAAAAATTATTTTCGGTTGCGGGGGTCAATTACAATCATTTTTGGTGAATAGACAAACCCCCGAAATCCTGTGCATTTTCGAGAAAAAAAATTCAGTACTGGTGGAACTTTGAACGTTAATAACTTTTTAACAAAGCCTCCATCAACAAATTAGTATTCTTGATTTTTGTCTTACTGTGGCCTCTAGAATCTCCCATTAAAAATTTTCCCATGGCCGAACGTATACTTTTTTTATGATATTTTTAGAAATATGGCGAATATATCAAGTATTTTTAACGAATGTCGAAATTATTATAGTCACGTTAGACACGAGTTCACGAGAACTGAAAATAAAGTTTAATACAAATCCAATGTTTTTCTATATTCTAAAATCTAACGAAGTTTTAAAATAAAATTATAAAACATAACCTAACCTATTTTTAGTCCACTTAATATTTGAAAACGTAGGAAAATAGCGAGGTATTTTTAGCGAATATCGGCACGTGACCAGAAATTGCTATAAACGTTAATCTCTCGTACGTGTCCGGACGTGTGTGTGTGTACATGTATTCGCATGGGTTCACAGAAACTGCGGCGTAAAATAATGTTCCTGCCGATGCAAGTCAAAAAATAATTGATAGCCTTTGCACGTTCAGTCAGCGACTCGAGAGACTCGTCATATGTTCGTACATCGAATCCGATGCTAACAATGGTTTTACGCTTTACGGTTGTTAGACCAGTGATGCACAGGCAACAAACTTTTTAGTATTCTGGGAATTAAAATTTGCGCACAACATATTATAAATACTATTTTAACTAATAAAATAATCTTTACCTAACTCGTATAATTTAGACATTTTATTTTTCGTTGTTTTCCGTTGCAAAGTGTAAAATATCAATCGAGTTTATTGCAGACGAGCGCCGCGAGTGGCTACGAGTTCCGTCTCCAAGGGATACGTATGTAATTAAAAAAGTTTGGGCACCACTGAACTCACCGTGACTCATGCTTCGTCGAGCTCTCCCCTTACATTTCTTTCTCCGTTCTTTTTTCCTCTATTTAATTGTAAGCCGTTTGTATTCGTTATTTTTAGCATCTAAACGATTATTTTTCAAAGGACAAAAATATCGAATGGAAAGAGAAGCGGGATTGAAAGCAGAAGACCTTACTGCATTCCGCGTGAATTCAGTCACTGGCCAAAATATTGCAGGCGAGCTATAGAAACGATCGTGACATAACGTTTCCACGTATTTCTTATCGTTTTATCGACTCGACGGTACAATTTTTTGTAAAATGTATTTCGCGACACGAAATGCGCAGAAAAAAAAACTTATCAGCAATGAGTCATACGTGAAATGATTAATGCAAGCAGCAATTCAATGGAACTACACTTGGATACGTTCTGTACATATATCATGTAGTGCATATACGTGTTTATTTTATTCCAGAATATATTCGAAATACTAATTATTTTGAATGAAATACATTTACATAAAATACACGTAAATTAAAACGCGACTGTTGTAATTCAAGGTCTAGGTTAGGTCTGTTAGGTTATTTGTTTATTGTAACAGCTGGCCTTTTCCAAACTATTAATATTTTCCTTTGATACTTTATTCTATCATTAAAAACTCAGGTTAGATGGAATAACCTGTATATGAAACATGAAACTGTATTGAAACATTTATAAATAAATATTTGTTATTATCTATGGAATCGAACAAATATATGATTAAAGTAAAAAGAAGAAATAAAATAAGCATAACGGGGTTCGAAACAACGTTCCAAAAGTTCGTAGTCTGATACTTAACAGCTGAGCCATCGCTGTTCTTAGGAATGTTGTAATTACTTTAGAATGTAACGCTCACGGCATACTTTTGATCAGTTGAATGTACCTATAGTTTATCAAATCCCTATACAGTTTTGCTAAATGTAAAGATCTCGTACAATCTCGTCAATTTTATTTGTCAAATAAAAAGTAACGTTCGTAGGTTAGGTTACAACATAACTTAAATCCTCGTCAAATTTAAAAGGAGCCCAAATTGTAAAGGTCGAAGACGTTTGTTATTTGCCCGTTTATGCCGCAACAAACACATAAATGATGAGAAAAGGAAACGTGTGACCTCTAACTGTGGATTGGACGTACAGAGCCGAGCAAATGAGTGTACGGCAGTAGCTCCAGGAGAGTGTTTCGAGGGATACGTGTTCCAACGGTGGGTCAGCATCGACAAGGCTGTGTATAAGTCCTTATAT